AAACACCTCGCCGATGATCTCGTCCCTCAGGTAGCGATCGAACGAGACGATCACGAAGTGGAGAGTCGTGTTCTGGATCTGGTTGTAATTCATGCCGTAGAAAATGAACTCCTCGTCATACACCGGGTTTAGTGTGTTTCTGACCACCCTTGTCTGGATCTTGTGCTGCTTCTCTGGCAACAACTGCAGCTTGATGTACGGATCAATGAGCTTCTTGCTTTCTGGATGATTGACGTTCTTGTTTGGCAGATTCGTACAGCGAAGTATGTTGACGGTCAGAGCGTTCCTTTCGAAGTTGTAGCTCAAGCTGAAGTGCAAGATGGCCTGATTCACGCTGTTGCCGTTTTCGTCACCGACTTCGTTCGTGGATGAGATGGCGGCCAGCCCCGGGACGACGGCCTTGTCGACGATCTGCTTCTGCAACGTTACCTGATTGGTACTCTTAGGCTGCACCTCCATCGACGTCACTGATTTGTTGATGTTCGTTGTTCTGGCCATTTTGCGGATGTCACTGGCAACGTCATTAACGTTGCGCTTTTGCTTTTGCAACTCCTGCTCGGGATTCTCGGGCGACAGAATCGGACTTGGCGAATTCTTCAAGCCCCCGGGTCCGGCGGAGGTCTTCGAGCTGATCACCGGTCTCGTCTCTTTTTCCGGAACAAGCTCTGACCATAGCGATTGCCGACGATAGCCTCGTTTCTGGTTCTGGCGTCTGTTCAGGAAGCAGATGACGAGAATCACGCCGGCCACCACCAACACAGTCCCTATGGAGGCCGTAGCGATGAAAATCTCTGAAACTAAAACAAAAAAGGATGACATCCAACATCTACAAATTAAATCAAAATCTATAAGCTTGTCCAAAATATGTAGGAGATTGACCTGGAGGCAAGCACTTTCCAATTGTTATAATTTCCAAAAACAGACTTATAGATGTTAAGAAAATCTTTATTCATTCTGCCAGAAGAGAACAAGAAAAACAGCCTTTTGTTTCAAATCGCTATGGCTTGTTTTGTGAACCTGCTAAGGAAATCTTGATAGCTAGTTTAAAGCAAGGAGATGCCTCTTTCAATTGTAAAGTCAGTGACTGGGGCTCAATGAAATGTCTTCAATAACTTTACAACGCTGAAGAGCAGAGAAAACTATTCAGCCAGTGGGGCTTTTATTGCAACCAATAAGTGGCGGATCATATTCATTTGTTACTAATAACAAGGAAGCAAATCTCGAAACAGATCTGCTTAGAGAATATATGTTCTAACTTGATCTTGTCAATCGCATTTAAAATTTGCCATAAAAGATCACCGAAGGGCATTCTTTCAGGCGGATCAATGTATCTGTCATGGACAGGGACCATTATAAATTATGTCTGCTGATAAACGAGTTATGACGTCTGCTGATAGCGAGTTTCATATTGTGGCAATGAAGAACCGGGTCCGGTGTGCAACTAATACAGTTTTTCTGTGGTTATCAGTGGTAGCTGGAGCGCAGTCGCAAAAGTGATACACAAAATCAGATCAACATAACTAAGACCCATGTTTAATATGAACTTTACCTTACGTTAGTTAGTCAACATTCGGTTCAGTCAGTTTAACGACGATTTGACTGTAAAGTATGAAACATTTGGAAAAATAGTATCGTTCGCTTATTGGACATAAGTGCCTTCAAGCAATTATTTGTGATGATGTGATCCATACAGCGAGAAGCGTCGGAAATAAAGTTTTTGCCATTTTGCCACCTGTTTCATCGTTTCCATGG